AGCAGGAAGGAAGGCCTGTCCTGTGCCCGTCAGGGATGACACAGGTGTTTCCATCTGGTGTGCATGGCTCAGACTAGGAGATGGGGAATGTCCACTGCTGGGGGTGGCTGTGCTCAGTCATCCCCATGAGCTGACCTTGCTGACCGGCGCCCTTGGCTGCGACCTGTCCAATCCCATGGACTGGTAAGAGGGTAGTTTGAAAAAGTCACCTCTGACTTGATCCCCATCCACCAATGGTTTTTTTTTTCCAGACCATGCCTCAAAGCTCAAAGGCCTGGGAGACCTTGTTGGTGGTAACTGAGGCAAAGAGGACCTGGAGTATCTCAGATCTATCTTCACCTCCTCTCCCTAAATTCAGCAGTGGTCCCACACTCTCTGTTTATTTTTACTTGTTCCTGATGTAGCAAGCACTCATCTTGGTTCCTGTTGCATTCCCTTTCCATTTTCAACTGAGCTTTTCTAAGGATTTGTCTGTCCTTGTCTTGCTCGCCTACCTAAAGATGAGACAAGGGAAGGTGACACCTGGAGCTGACTCTTTGGCTGTGTAGAACAGGGTGCATGAGGTGCCACCGGGTGCGTGATGTACAACAGCAACAGGGAAGTTCACAAAGGTCAAGCAGAAAGAAAGGACTGGCTGTCAGGGGCCTCAGGCAAGAACGCGCCGAAGGACACGGAGCAAGCGCATCCTAAAGCAGTGCAGATAAGCCAGCAGACACCGAGATAAGGAACTGCTCGGTGAGCCAGCTCCTGACCATAGATGGAAGGAAAGACTCCGAATTCATGGGAAGGACACCAAGAGACAGCTCTCCAGCAGCCACTGGGAACCCCCAGAGACCACTGAGGACCCCATGGAAGCCCCACAGAGCTCCAGGCATAATGGATGTGCAAATATTATAACCAATTCCAGGAAAAAGAATAAATATGTATGAATATTCTGGAAAAATTAATGCACATGGAGGTAACAGGTGACCTAGGAGTGGGGTGGGGGGACACACGGCGTGCACGTGAGGGGGGGCGATTCCCTGTGCAGCCGGTGCTGGGCTAAAGCATTCTGGCTTTGTAACGCCGCGTTGGCGTTGAGAGCTTTTAGTCCTGATTTCAGGGACACCACGATCTCACCCACCCCCAGGTCCCACCACCCCCCATCTTCCTCAACCCCACATACCAGCACTGCACCATCTTCCTAGCTCCACGTCCCACGTCCCACCCTCTCCCCACTCCTCTCCCCATGCGCATGTCCCACCACCCCTAAGCTCCTCCAACTCCACGTCCCACCATCCCCATCTCCTCGATCTCAGTGTCACACCACCCATCTTCTCCACATCCCCACGTCCCACCACCCCAATTTCTCCCTACCTCCACGTCCCACCATCCCACCATCTCCTCTACCCCCATGTCCCATCATCCCCATCTTCCCATCCCCACTTGCCATCCCCCAATCTCCCACATCCACACATCCCACCACCCTCCACTTCCCTGTCCCCTTCCCACCATACCCATCTCCCCCATCCCACGTCCCACCACTGACCATCTCCCCCATTACCAGGCCCCACCACCCCTAATACACCCATCCCCACCTCCCAGCACCCCACCATCTCCCCATCCCCATGTCCCACCACCCAACATCTCCCCACCTCCATGTCCCACCATCTCCATCTCTCCCTACCCCATGTCCCACCACCGCCACATCTCCCCAACCCCCACGTCCCACCCCCCCCCATCTCCCCATCCCACCATCTCCCCATCCCGACGTCCCACCATACACCATCTCCCTCATTCCCTCTTCCCGCCACCCACCACCTCCCTATCCCCACGTCCCGCCACCCCCATCTCCCCATCCCCATTTCTGACCACCCCCAATCTCCTCCATCCCCATGTCCCACCACTTCCCATCTCCCCATAGTCATGTGTCACCACGTCCCATCTCCCCATCCCCACATCCTACCATCCCCATTTCCCCCATCCACACATCCCAGCATCCCACCATGTCCCCACATCTACATCCCACCATACCCATCTCCACCAGCTCCATGTCCCACCTCCCTCACTCCCTCACTCCCACACCCCACCAACCGCCATCTCCCCATCCCTATGTCCAAGTATCATCATCCCCACGTCCGACCCTCCAACATCTCCCACACCCACATCTTCCACCATACCCACCTCCCCCAACCCCACATCCCAGCACCCCACCATCTCCATACATCCACGCTCCACTATCCCTATCTCACTAATCCCCTGGTCCCACCTCCCCTCATCTTCCCATCCCCACATCCCACCACCCTCCATTTCCCCATCCCCACGTCCTGCTGTCGCCACGTCCCCATTCCCACATCCCACCACCCCCATCTTTTCCATTCCTACATCCCATCACCTACCATCGCCCCCATTCCCACGTCCCACCCTCCCATCTGCCCTATCCTCACATCCCACAATCCCCATCTACCCATCCCCACATCCCACCATCCCCATCTCCCCCACACTCAAGTCACAAAACCCCACAATGTCCCCCACCGCCACGTAGCACCATCCCCATCTCCCCCACCCTCATGTTCCACCAT